GCTTGGGCTTCTCCCCTGCAAAACATCTAAGGTAAGTCTCGACACTTCTATTGACTACCTCAGATTGCCCATCTGTCTGTGGGTGGTAGGCTGAACTGCGCTTCAAATGTGTCCCTTGTAACTTGAACATCTCCTTCCAAAAGTGACTTAGGAATACTTTATCTCTGTCGGAGACTATCGACTCAGGAAAGCCATGAAGCCTCACAATCTCACGGATGAAAACTGCTGCAACGGTAGTGGCATTAAAAGGATGTCTCAACGGTATGAAATGAGCATACTTACTAAGCCGGTCAACTACAACTAGAATGACAGTGTAGCCTTCCGACTTGGGTAAGCCTTCGATGAAGTCCATAGTCACTTCCGACCAAACCTGATCAGGTAACTCAAGTGGCTGCAACAGTCCTCCAGGTGCACATGCTTGATACTTGTTCCTCTGACAAGTATCACACTGGGCCACCATTTCCTCCACATCTTTCCTCATCCCCTTCCAGTATATCTCTCTAGCCAACCTCTGATAAGTCTTCTGCCCTCCTGAATGTCCTCCAATAGCACTGGCATGAAACTCCTGAAGTATCAGTGGAATCTGGGAAGAGGTCTTAGGTAAAACTAACCTTCCTCTGTGTAGCAAAAGCTGATCCTCCACTGTATATCCTGACGGTATTTCTTTCCCCTTCCTTATGGCTTCTCTTAAGCTCCCCAATTCTTCGCTAGTCATATTTTCAGTCCTCAAATTCCCCCAATCCACTAACTGAGGCACAGATGTAGCAATAAGTTGTGAGCACTCCACCTTCCTGGATAAGGCATCAGCAGCTTTATTCTCCAACCCTGGCTTGTACTGAATCTCGAAATCATAGCCCAATAATTTGGAGAGCCATCTTTGGTGTTCTTCTGTCACCATGCGTTGCTCCAACAAATATTTTAGACTCCTTTGGTCAGTCCTCACAAGGAATCTTCTACCCAACAAGTACGGTCTCCACTTCTGAATGGCCTTAACAATGGCCATCAGTTCTCTCTCATAGACAGACTTGAGCTTTGCCCTCCCTGATAATACCTGACTGTAGAAAGCTATGGGTCGCCCTTGCTGCATGAGAACCGCTCCCAACCCCAAACCAGATGCATCAGTTTCCACCACCAACTGCTGCTTGAAATTCGGTAATGCTAACACCGGGGCACTAACCATAGCTCTTTTCAAAGCCTCCATAGCGCTATCTGCCTCCGGTCCCCAATTGAAGCTGTCTTTCTTCAACTGCTCAGTGAGTGGAGCTGCAATAGATCCATACCCTTTTATGAATTTCCGGTAGTATCCTGTGAGTCCTAAGAAGCCCCGGAGAGCCCGAAGGTTCTTAGGAGTTGGCCAGCTCGTCATGGCCTCCACCTTGGAAGGGTCAGCTGCCACCCCTTCTGCTGAGATAATGTGCCCCAAATATTCCACACTTCTTTGAGCAAAAGAACACTTTTTTTGATTGACATACAACTGATGATGTTGTAAAGTGTTCAAAACCTTCCTCAAGTGCTCCAAGTGCTCCTGTAGGGACCTGCTATAGATCAGAAAGTCGTCAAAAAACACTAGAACAAACCTCCTCAACATGGGTTGAAACACTTGGTTCATCAGGGCCTGGAATGTAGAAGGAGCATTGGTGAGCCCAAAAGGCATCACCAAGAACTCATAGTGTCCTTCATGAGTCCTGAAAGCAGTCTTGGGGATGTCCTCCCTCCTCATCCGGATCTGATGATATCCGGACTTCAAATCAAGTTTGGAGAACATTGTAGCACCCCCCAACTCATCAAGAAGCTCATCAATAACAGGAATTGGAAACTTGTCTAGAACAGTCTCCTTGTTGAGAGCCCGATAATCAACACAAAATCGCCAACTACCGTCCTTCTTCTTTACCAAAAGTACGGGGCTCGAAAAAGGGCTCACGCTCGGCTGGATAACCCCCGCTTCCATCATTTCCCTGACTAGCTTCTCAATCTCCTCCTTTTGAGCATGAGGATATCGATAGGGCCGCACACTAACTGGATCTGCTCCTCCTTTCAGTACAATGGCGTGCTCCTTGCTTCTCTGTGGGGGTAGCCCTGCTGGCATCTGAAAAACTGGGGTGAAATCTTCCAACAGCTCTCCCACCTCTTCTGGAATATTCTGCTCCTCCACTGGCTCACTACCCTCCAATCGCCATAACTCTATCAGAAACCCTTCCCCCTCACTCCTAAGGGACTTGAGAATAGTCTTCAGAGCCACCTTAGACCGGCATAGTTTGGGGTCCCCATGCAAAGTAACTCGATGCTCCCCTTCACCATACTCCAACATCAAGGTCTTCCAGTTGACCTTCATCTCCCCCAGAGTTTGTAACCACTGAATACCCAAAATAACATCCGTATTACCCAGCTCGAGCACCAAAAAATCTTGGGTAATATCTTCCCCCTGTATGGAGAGAGTAACTCCACTGCATCTTCCCGCACACTGCTCCCTCTGACCGGTCCCCAAAGAGACTCCCACTCCTCTCCCCTGGATCATGGGAATGCCCAACTCTTCCACTAATCTGCAAGCTATAAAGTTGTGGGTGGCCCCACTGTCTATCAGCACTGTGACTGTAAAGCTCCCGATCCTCCCTTCCATCTTCATGGTGGAATGTGCCGTCAACCCTGCCACTGAATTGAGGGAAACCTCAATCATGTCAAGATGTAGATGATCTACACCTTCTTCTTCCCCTCCTAACTCTTCCTCAACTTCCTCCTCCTCGGGGTCTTCTACCAATAGGACTTGGAGTAATTTGTCCTTGCACCTATGCCCTGGCCCAAATTTCTCATCACACCTGTAACAGAGCCCCTTGGCTCTTTTATCCTTCAGCTCTGCCTCAGTGAGCCGCCTAAACTCCCCCTTGGCCGGTGCACTCCGATCCCTCTCCTTCTGTCCTTCTCCTCCTGCCCCCAAGTAAGCACCCTTGGCTCCTCCCGTAGGATTTGCCACCTTCTGTCCCCCTCCGAAGAAAGTAGGTCTGCGGTATTGATCAGAAGACAATCTATCCTCTATCAGCTCAGCCATCTCCAAAGTCTCCCTCAAACTCCTTGGCTTGGCCGCTCTAACTGCTGATCGAATGTGGGGCTTCAAACCCTTCATGAAATTTCCCTCAAGCACCTCATCCGTCATCCCACGAAGCCTACTGGACAGCAACTCGAACCTGTCCCTATAAGCAGATACTGTACCAGTCTGTGTCAGTGCAAAGAACTGCTCATGATGAGTTCCCTCCTTTGGTGGTCTGAAGCGGTCTAGGCACATCTCCCTAAACTCTGCCCAACATCTGAATCTCTGTCTTTCTTCCGTCCACTGATACCAAGCAAGGGCTCTTGCCTCCAAACATAAAGGTACCGCCAAGAGTTTCTCCTCATCTGTCATCCCCATCGCTGTGAAGTATCTTTCTGCCTTGAAGATCCACCCATAAGCATCCTCTCCTTCAAAGATTGGAAGCTTCAACTTCCTCATTCCCCATTCTCCTCTCCCGTTTACCCTGCCGTTGCCCATACCTCCTTGCCCATATCTCCCCTCTGGTTGCCTCTCCCATGGCCGTGGGTCCACCCCACGACTCTCCCTTCTTTCCCAAGCTTGAGGTGCCACCGGATCCCCCCTTGCATAACCAGCCGACCCCCAATGAGGCTCCCTAGGGTCGGCCTCCCCTCTGCCTCGATACGATCCTCCTCCCCACTGATTGTAAGGCATGCTTCCTCCCTCCCTTCCTTGGACAAATTGATCTGGATGATTCTGAGTATAGCTTGCCCTAGCGTCTCCCATAAATCCGGCGGTGGAGTAGTCCTCCCCTCCACGGTTTGGGCCATACCTGCCCCCCCTTGGGCCGGCGGACCAAGCATCCCCTCCATGGTCGACAATGTCAATGGCCTCCTTCCCTTTTGCATTAGGTCCCTCACGAACCCTACTACCTCCTTCACCATCAACCGGCGGCGCAATAGGATTAGGGTTAGGGTTAGGGTTAACCGAACCCCCCATGTTGTGTTGGCCCGCCACCATTTGTTTGATCATCTCTTGTAACCCTAACATTTGAGTCTTCAACTCCTCCACTCCATCAAGCTTTTCATCAACGGAAGCAAATTTCTCCTTAAGGGCGGTGAACTCCACTTCCCACTCTCCAACTTTCTCTTCAATAGATTCAATCCTTCGTGTACCCATCCCTTCCTTGTGGATCTAGTGCTCTAATACCACTTTGATGGAACTTGGTTTTTAAATTTTGGAATCCAGGAAAAACAGCCCAAAAACAGTGAAAAAATGGCGAATTTCTTGGATGAAAACACTCACAAACACTTCATTACTTAAATAATAAAAGACTTACAAGTTTCCACGGATACAATGCTCTCAATTCGAGAAGAGAAGCTTTCTCCCAAGCCCTAGAATAGAAAAACCTAAAACAGCCACCAAACAAGATGCCTCCAAAAATAAACCCTAACTCCCTTTTAACTCTCACATAAACCCCCCAAAATCCCCTAATTACCCCTAGGGCAAACACCTCATCCTCCCTCTTCAATTTGGTGAGCCCCTTGGGCCCACCCACCTACTTTCTCCCATTCGGCCGTCCGCCCAAGCAGGCGGGTTCTCCGCCTGCAGTACGTGAGAACCGGCCCTTTTGGGCCGGTGTTGTTGTGGGTCGGTTCGGTCCATCAGTATCTTCCAAATTCTTTATTTTTCATGTTGTATATGACAAGACATTCGATGTTAAGAACAGTATAGCAAAATTGACAGGTCCCGCTTGTGCATCCCTCATTTAGGCTTCGCTTGGGACACCTTTTTTATTGCTTCTTAAAACAGTTTTTTAGTAAAAAATTAAATATCTTTTATTAGAAAGCTGCTTTACGAAGCAGTAAGAAAGTCATCCCAAACGAAGCCTTAATCATATAGCCAGACTGAATGCAGAAAACCATTGCCTCCATGTTTGACTGTAGAGAACTTCGAATTAAATTTATTACTGCACCTATAAAGCTTACCAAAGGGAATAAAACTAAGTGAAGCAGAAACTTTGAGCATTTCAACGTTAAAATTTGTATAAAACAATGATGGTGATACACGTTTCATGATAAACATGTTAAAAACATGAAAATTAGAAGTACATTAATAAATCAACAAACATATATTTGAACTTGTAGGATCTGAAATTCAAAGGCTTTTAAGAAATGGTGGAACCACCTGACCGCATTGCTCGAGTACCTCAATCAAAGACTCAGCCAAAGGGGCATCTACTGTAGAAAAGAAACTATGCAGAACCCCAACAAGAGTATGCCGTGCAATCTTTGTCAGAATTGTATTATAATCCTTGATAGAGGAGGGGAAATCCACAATCATAACTATCTCAAATTTATCCATGGGAAGATCAAGGAGGTTATCTAAATCCTTCACCATGACTGAACCAGATTTTTCACTGCGCAGAGAATAATAACTAACGTGTAAGTTAAAATGTAAACTTTATCGAGTTCTATGGATATGAAAAGTAATGTTGCCAGAAGTATACTAATTCAGATTTAATGGTAAGGTTAAGAAAAGATTGGAAGTAGAATCTAATAAATAAGGGTTCTAATAGTATATTCTACAAAATAATAGCTTTTAAGATAGTTAAGCAAACTAACCCATTCGTTTTGTGTAAACCACGCGTGTGACTGTCACCACAAACATCATAACCTTTAGAATTCAGGTAAGAAGCTAGTGGGCTGATTTTGGATGCACTGCCAGATATTAAAAGGACTTCAGGACTTCGGGCAGTTTGTTTACTAAGTGTTTGAGAAAGAATTTGTAAAACCTGCACATTCAAAGAAATATAATTGATATCAAAAGCTGTCTATATTAAATTTAATATAATACATCAACAAAGAAACATAAAATCAGAGATCAAATGAAATTTAACTTGTACTTTTCAAAAAGAAAAAAAATTGAAAATCAAGCAGTGGGGGTTGGGAACTTCGGGGTCAGATTTTTTTTTATGGCGATTTATGTTAAAAGTTACAAAGCAGTACAACTGAGAGAACAAAAAAGAAAAATTTTCACATGAATATATAGGTCTCTAGTTGCCATAGAAAAGACAAAATAAATGTGTTTTATCTTAGCTTGAACTTCTATATTTTGAGATAAATGAATAAGGTTGAGTTATTACCAGAGTTATAGTGTATTACAGTATTAGTCATTTAGCTCATGATGTTAAATATACCATACGTTTCTTTTTATCATATGGTCAATGATCGCACTTTATGATAAATAAGTCTCATATGATGAGATACATAAGGGAAAATTTGTCTCCATTTGGGTTTTAAGACTAAATGTAAGATATGCCCATTGGATAATAAATTGCAATTGCAAATGATTATGCTTTGTGCCTCTGAACTACTCGGTTAAAATAGTACGACCAGTCCTTTGCCACCAGCAATGAGTTGATGTCAATATAAAAGCAAGTCTTAGACACATATTTTATATAGCCTGCTCGAGATGCCTCATATGAGGCAACTCATAGTTGTTAATCAGACTCTCTAGATGCTACAACTCAAAGCCTCATGATATTAGCACACTAGGTCTACTCGTAACAAAGGATGATGACCTCCATCACCCAAATTATTCCACCATAATACAACTGGTTTCTAAACATTAAAACTAACCCCAAAATTGAGCCTAGGCAACTTCCTTAACTAAGAGTACTCTCTTGAAAGTAATTAACCAAAGGGCTTGCAATCAATGAAAGTCTTGACCCCAAATCTAAATAAACCTTGACAAAATGTTAGGAGAAATATGCTTAAACTATACCCGTAAAAAATCGAGAATAAATGCATAATCAACAAGAAAATTTAGGCATTTATTGAATAAGACGTACATTCAGATTGGGGATTTTGAGCAATTATTGTGATAGGAAACTCCTTTTTTAGGGGGGGGGGGAGTAGGCGTGGACTATTTTTTTTTTTAGCATGCCATATTTGGATGCTAAAACTTAATATGTTTTTAATTCATGATTAATATCTGGTTTTCTGTTATATTGTCTTACTTGTCTTTCTTTATTTTTCTTTCTCAGCTCTTCTTATATATCACAAGATTCACTGCCTTGAGATAAGGATAATTACTTTTGTTCTCCTTCATTTTCCTCATCATACAAGAAGCTTTCTTTAATCTCTAGCATCCTCTATAACCATATATAATATGGCTATAGGAAAACAACATTCCATGTATAAGGTAACTTCTAACCTTGAAGTGTTCATAATATAAGAGATAAGAAAAATATCATCCCTATCACTAGCACAAATTGAACGGCTATAATTGTCTTCAATGATCATAATCTATGCTGTTCATCTATGGAAAAGGCAAAGAAGACTATCTCACAAAATCTATGGCAACAATAGAGAAAGGAAATCCTATACATAGAAGTGTAAATTAATTAAGCAAACAAGTGTTAACCCTAACTTAAGCTTGATCAATTAATTGATTTCGAGTCGTCTAACAATCCAGCTTATTTATTATGAAAGAGAGAATTATTTTGATTCAAGCCTAATAAAATGATAAAATAAATAAGAAATCAAAAGAGAAATAATAAGAAATCACTTGATATAAGGAAATGAGAAGCAATTTTTAAAAGTTTTTAATAAATTTGTACTTATAATTATAATTTTAAATATATTTTAAAGTATTTTATATAAATATTTTTAAATGAGGGGGACTTGCAACCTAACAAGTCAAGTTAGGTTTTTGCTAAAACTTGACTCGTCAATTCATCAAGTTGAGCTCACGAGCCATTTATCAAACTGAATGTATGTAAATTTAAAAATAATAAGTTAATGACTATCTTGTTATTGACTTCATGGCCATTGAGATAGGGGAGAACTTCTTATATACTGCAACTAAAGAAATTTGTGCTTCAACATGCTAAAAAATATATTAAAGTTCTGAAAGAACTTCTCTTTGTTGAAAAAGCTATTCATTAACTTCAGCAAGGTGATTTTTCTATTACTTAGTACTTTAACTCCCTTGTGAACACTGGAAACAACTTGTGGCCTATTTGAAGTTCATGAATAGAGGTGAACCAAGGACAAGGCTTTGTACAAATAGTACAATAAGAAAAAAAAGAGGCATTTAAGTTCGGGATAAAACAATGATTAGAATGAAGTTCAAGGAAAATTGCAAACACAAGATTGTTGATTAATATCCAAGAAGCCTTCTCTAAAGTTTGTTTGGAGAAAATTCATTTAAAAACTATGATGGGATCATCACATCCAATATCAGCAGCAGAAGGAACAACTTTAATGTTTGGTGACTTTCAGAACTTTGAAAATAATAAATTCAAACAAAAGAATATTATTTCTCAAAAAGAAATATTATTCTTAAAGTTAACTATATCTTGGGTGGTACCCAAAAAACTCTTGATCAAGGAATATTGCATGTGCTCTACTTGTGTTTATTTAATAATAAACAATCTTTTTCAATAAGGAATGAAAGGACTCATAATGAAGAGAAGAATCAGAGTTAGTAAGCACTGAAGCATAGTACAAAAAAGGTAATCCTTGATGTAGGTGAGTATGAAGAATCCGAAGAAGGGGGCAAAGTAATCTTAGGGAAAGGTTTCTATCCTAGAAAAAAGAAAGCAATTCGAAACAACGAGATTTTTATCCTAGGAATAAGAGACTATCCTTGGAAGGAGTCTATCCTTGAGAAGAGAAGATTAATCCTAAGGGATAATATATGTATCCTAAAGAAGAAGACTAAACCTAGGGAATAGGTTTCCTATCCTAGGCTCCTAGCAATGAAGGTTTTTATCCTAAGGAGAAAGGAAGTACTATCCTAAGAGCTACTTGTAGAAGAGAATATGTATCCTATGGAGAAAGACTAGCCTAAAGGATAGGTTGACTAACCCTAGAGCAAAGAGATGGGGTAGAAGGATGGTCATTATCAAGATCTTATAGTGTCCATTGTTTTGGGTCAGTATAGCTCCTAGTCTACTTAATTAGAGAGGATGATCAGACTTCTGTAACCAAGAGGATTCTTGTTAGTAATAATGAGTTGTGTCATTTAAAGCTACCTCATAGACCTAGAGAGTAAGGGAGATCTAATCCTAAGTTAACAAATGGGACTTATACTCCACAACTATAATTAGAAAAAAAAACCCAAGCTAAGGAGGCTCTAAACCTTAAGGATTGTGAATCTTCTAGACCGTAGAAAAACCCAGAAGCTGGACTTAATAATCATGAATAATAAACTTACATCTTATATGATCAAGGATGTCAACTAACCCACCTAATTACATATTTAACTGAGAGGTTGACCAAACGCAAATAGAGAAGAGGCAAACACACTCTAGAGTTAGCTACTTGGAGAAGAGGCATGTGTGTAATGTGCATGTGTTTAAGCAATATATTCTTAAATGAATCTTAGACTAAAAGTTGTGGGCTTCAAAAATTCATTCCCAAGCCTCTCCGCATTTTGGGAGAGTTTTAACAAATATGTTCTAGGTCAAATTTTCAGAAGTCAAATTAGTTTTAAGAAAATAAACTGCCTAGAGATTTCACTCTCATTTATGAGGACTTTAAGATCTAAATTCGGGTTTCCATAAGTGCTTGCAAGGACTTCAATTACCCCTCCTAGTGATGGGAAAGCACTTTCGATTAATGCTAATTATTATATAGGCGGTAAATATCCAGCGTATAGTTAACATTTAACTTCTTTTAAACTCTGATAACTAGGATTAATATATAGTTTCCTATTTTATTGTCTTCTTTAATTTTCTTTCTCTACTCTTCTTACGTCCTGCAAGATTTGTTGAATTGAACTACAAAAAATTACTTTTCTCTCTACTTCATGTTCTTCAAAATCTGCTCTACCTAAGAAAAATTATCATGAACCCTTCCATCTACACAACTTGCAAGGACAAGGTGATGCAGGACTACATGCAAAGATCGGAAACTTGCACAAAATAAATTAAGAACAATTTCAGATTTTCGTTAATAGTGATTAGAACAACAATGTAAAACTCATAAATGGTCAATCCCGTTTAGACCAAGCGACACAAGAGACTAAACCAAATCAAAACACTTAAGAAAATTAAAACATTACATAAGTAGTAGTTTCCAACATAACCAAACTATAACAATTAGATCTAAGAGCCAAGAAGTAACAAACCTACGATTACTAATGGATGGCGATTGGTAGACAAAATCTCTTGCGTGAACAAACTCTCATAAAAGTAAGTAGAATTTGAAAGAAAATGAATCAAGGAAGAAGATCACCTTTCCGGAGAGACGTTGTGAATTACCACACACCTTTCGTTGGTCCCTTTCAACAAGTACTATGGGAATAAGAAATCTCTATGGATCCGCCAAGGATTGAAATCACACCGACGACGGGAAGGGGAGAAGATCCACAACGCCTTGGCCGTCGGATGCAAAGTCGAAATCACCCTTCGAGTCGACCATGAATCAATATCATGTAAAGGGAGAACAAACTAGAGAAGGAGAGGGAGAGAGATGGCGGTGGGAGGGAGGAAAAGGCTAGGGTTAAGAAAAGACTAGATGGGATGAAGAAATAATATTAGATCTCCATACCAAAAATTATTCTCAGATTTTAAGTGAAAGAGGAGGGAAAAATCTGAGATTTGAATTTTCAAAACCAAGTAATTAAGAGTTTTAATGGAGCATTAAAGGGAGGGGACCACATGGGAGGCCGGCGGCATGGAGAGAGGGAGTGGGGGTTAGGGGAAAAGGAGTTATGCGTTTCCAAATCCGCTCGACTAATTAATGATGAAAATTTCAAATCTGCTCAAATTCAAATTTGAAATTTGATTTCTCATTAAAACTTTCCTAATTTGGCGTCGGACAAATTTGGAAACTTCCACTTTGAATTTTGAAATTCAAAATTAGTGGAGAAAGCAAGAAGGGGGCCGGTGATTGGTGGAGGGGATGGTGGTGGGAGAAGGGGAGGCCGTCGGTTAGGGTGGAGGCCGGCGGGATGATGGGAAGGTGGGGGTTTTGAGGATATGGTGAGGTTGAGCTTGGGCGGGTACGATTAGGAGGTGGAGGTTGGTGGTGGGGAATGGCCGGAGGTGGATATTGGGGAAAACGAAAAGAAAGAAGGGAAATAAACCAAGAGCCACCGGAGGTGACTGTTGGGTACGACGGGTGGCCTCTCCTAGGCTCCACCAAACTCACAACTCTCTCTCAAGCTCTCACAAAAGCTTCAAGAAGACAAATGCAGGAAAATTTCTTAATATCATTCATTAACCATCAAAAGTACAAGATGAAGGCTATAAATAGCCTAATACAATGACATAAAATAAAAGGACTCAAATACCCTCAAGGGCTATATGACTCAATCCCTCAAGCAATGGGTAAAAAGGGAAAATGCAGAAATAAAATACATCAAAATAAAATGACAATACTAAAATCAGAAATACATCGGGTAAATCGTGGCCATAGATCTACGGCCACGTCGACGGTAGACTTTCCAACTGATGTCCCCATCACAAGGGTTAATTTTTCTTGGGTCAAGGTAATCTATATCAAAATCTATACCTACTCCTTAGCTTCATTTTTACATAAACCTCTTCTCACACTCCCTACTCGCTTGATTGAAATCCTTAAATGATATGAAACCTAATACCATAAGCAATCCTCATGCGTCCACGTTCACTGCAAAGAATCTTAAGCCGATATAACCCAAAATCATCCTTTCCGAGAGATTATTCTCTCTAAGCCTACAAAAAATACTAAAATCAGCTATTCAAAGTAAATTACTCAAAAAATAAACTCATTCTTTTTTACCCAAAAAGTGGCAATTTTCTCTTATCGCAAAAAGCCCTTATGGTTTGTATCATTCAACAAAAAGTTACATTAACCATCAGGTTGTACCCTTATCCAACGCAGAGTACAAATCAACCTAAATAAGAGACCAATAGAGCAAGTTTGAGAGATTAACTTAACACTGACAGCAGTAAACTACAGTGAAACGGAACATAAATGGATGTATTTCAGATATTTGACATAGAAAATATGAAGTACCTCAGACAGCTTTTCATCTTCCGAGGCATAAAAGTGTATATATTGCGATACAAAAGTACTTGTGCTAGCCACTGATTCATGTGCAGATAACCTATAAACCGGCCCTCTTATTAAATGTTGTAGCAGCTCAGTCACCACTGGTATTTCTCCATGGCTACCACCGAAAGCAATTATCTGAGGATCCCCAAATATACTCCCTCTGATGGATTTTAGATTATCTAGCAACCCCAAGTCCACAAATTTTCTTAGTCCATCAACAACCTGTTGAATTGGCGAAAAGGACATCATTGAAGAATCAGAAACATTATTTTTTCAGAAAAAAATTAGTTAGACTGTACTCATTCAAAAGCACCGCATAACTTTCCCAATGCAACAAACAAAGCAATGTAAAATACGTTCAATTAAGTTAAGAACATGGATGAACTATAAACATAAACAACCAAAATGTTATATACATAAAAAAATGCATGCAAAATGATATGGTTGGCCATGAATTCAGATGCCGCCAATGCATAAGGAAAAGGTTCGCTCATCACACAAGCAATTCAATAAAGGTTTACACTTTACAAAAGCAATATAGATTTTAAGCATCCTTGAAAGCTAAAAAAGTGATAAAAGATTAAGAAAGTGACAGCATAATTCTTTTTTTTATATTTGAATATTGTTTTCAAGGGAAACCATAGAAAAAAGACTTGGTACTTGTGCACTGCTACAAATGTGTATAAGTAATTTGCAACTTAATGTCTAGCCTATTAGATCTTAATTTGGTTTTATTGTGATTATTAAAGCCATGGTTGTACGAACAGTATAAGTATTCTTATAGATGTTTTATATATTTTGAAATACTAATGTAATTCTCCATAGTTTATGATAAATTGAGTCTAGAAAAAATTTTCTGCTGAATGGAAAAGCTTGCGTCGTATAGAGCTATGCATAGGAAACTAATACCTACTGCACACCTATAATTACTTTAATTTCACTATATTAAGAGTCTTATTGAAAAGGTTATCTAGTGAAATTACTTCAGCATGATGTAAATCATACTATTTAATTTATTGTTATCATAACACTTGCATCAATTGAGTTAATAACCATGAAATTTGAATTAGATAAACTTTTCACTATGCTTTCAAATTGTTGGTACACGTCTATTTAGCTGTTGTTTTCGAACTGTTTTTCAAAAAATTTTGAGATGAGGAAAAATTTTTATTATCAAATCTAGTTTGTGGTAATTATAAAAAATGTTGTTATCTATTTTTTAAAAAGAATGGACTATGCTTCAGAAGTGATGAGAAGTATACTCCATGGCGCAAGTGTAGGGATCGAACTCTTCAGATTCTCACCGTCTATTATGACGAGGAAGCTGAGGGAGGTGAGAGTGAGGTAGAGGGAGAGATGGAGGACAAGTTCACCTGGACATGGCATAGGTTTCCCTGAACTCAATGGTATGATTCACTCTGAATCATACCATGAAGGTGAATGGAGGAAGAAGTAGACAGGGAGGTAGTGGTGTTGATAGATAATGGGGCTACCCACAATTTCATCTCCAACCAGGTTGTGAACCAATTGGAGATGAAATTGGTTGATACATGACGATATAGTGGGAACGGGGAAGGTGGAGATGGGCAAGGGGATTTATAGAGGGGTAGTGTTGATCATACATGGGGTTCAAGTGAGGGAGGATTTCCTCCCATTGGAGTTAGGAAGCACTGATGTCATCCTGGGGATGAAGTGGCTGTGGATCTTGGGAGACACCAAGATCAACTGGAGGGTATTGACGATGAAGCTGGTAGTGGAAGGGAGAAAAGTAGTGATAAGGGGAGATAGAGGGCTCTCCAAAGCCATGGTATCACTTAAAACCATGGTGAGGAGTATATAGGAGATGAGGGAAGGTTATCTAGTGAAACTACACATGCTGGAAGAGAACATATTGGAGGAGGGAGGAGAAGTTCCTCTTTGAGTACAGCCCTTGATTCAGCAATTCAGTGAGATTTTTCAGCCACCTTAGAGATTGTCACCACCAAGGGAGCAAGAGCATGCTATCACCTTGAGGGAAGGTGTGTCACCCATCAGTGTCAGGCTCTATCGCTATTCTCAATTTCATAAGGATGAAATTGAGAAGCTTATTAGAGAGATGCCAGAATTAGGGATTATCAGACCCAGTGTTAGCCCTTTTTCTAATCCAATGTTACTGGTTAATAAAAAAGATGGAAGTTGGAGGTTGTGTAGATTACAGGACAATAAATAAGGAAATGGTACCAGACAAGTTTCTTATTCTAGTGATAGATGAGCTGCTAGATGAGTTGAGTGGGGCAGTTATTTTCACCAACATTGATCTAAAGTCAGGGTATCATCAAATCAGGATGAAAAGGGAAGATGTGCCAAAGAATGCTTTCAGAACTCATGAAGGGCATAGGCATTATGAGTTCCTAGTGATGCCTTTTGGCCTCGCTAACACCCCAGGCACTTTCCAAACCCTCATGAACAAGATCTTCAGACCTCATCTCAGGAGATTTGTGTTGGTATTTTTTTATGATATCCTGGTTTATAGCAAATCAGAAGAGGAGCATTGGGAGTACTTGAGGAGGGTTTTAGATGTGTTACAAGAGCACCAGTTGAGGGTCAATCTGAAGAAATGTTGTTTTGCCCAGGCCAGTGTGGAGTACTTGGGACATAATTTATAAGGAGAGGGTGGGGCATATCAAATAAAAATTGAAGCTATGTTGAGATGGCCAGTGCCTAAGAACCTCAGGAAGTTAAGGAGATTCCAACGACTGACATGCTACTACAGGAGATTTGTGAAGGGGTACAACACCATCGCATGGCCACTAACAGAACAGTTGAAGAAGAATGGGTTCTTATGGGGAGAGGCGGCCACAGCAGCTTTTGAGAGCTTGAAGAAGGCCATGACCACTATACCAGTCTTGGCCCTACTAGATTTCACTCAAGTCTTCATAGTGGAGACAGATACCTCAGGGCATGGATTGAGAGCAGTACTCATGCAGAGTCATCGATCCATCGCCTATTTCAGGCTAAAATTAGTTTATGAGAGAGAATTGATGGTCATCGTGTTAGCCATCTAGAAGTGGCAACCTTACTTGTTGGGCTTATGAGAGGGAATTGATGGTCATCATGTTAGCCATCCAGAAGTGGCGACCTTACTTGTTGGGCCAACATTTTATTGTCATGACGGACCAGCGGAGCCTGAAGTACTTGTTGGAGCAGAGGATGGTTACAGAGGTGGTTGTCAAAGTTGTTGGGGTATGATTTTGAAAGTCAGTATAGGCTAGGAATGGAAAAGAAAGCAACAGATGCCTTGTCCAGATGCATGGGAGAATTAATGGCGATAGCAGTATCAATACCACTGATGCTGAATTGGGAGGTCATTAAAGAGGAGAGTGCAAGGGATGAGGAGTTGGGAAGAATCAAAGTTGATTTATTGAAGAAAGTAGTCACCCCGAGTACTCTCTAGAAGGCGAAATGCTTCTATATCAGGGGGGATTCATGATGCCTAGGACATCAGTCCACATTTAACACATGATCCAAGAGTTCTATGGAATCACTGTAGGGGATCAATCAGGGATGCAAAAGACATACATGAGACTCATCTTAGAGTTGTATTGAAAGGGAATGCATAAGGATGTGGAGGAGATGGTAGCTAAATGTGAGATCTGCTAGAGGAACAAATACTTGGCCATATCTCCAAGGAATTACTACAGCCTTTATCTCTACCAGATCGGGTGTGGGAGGAGGTATCCATGACTTTCATAGATGGATTACCCATATCAAAAGGGTTCATAGTGATTCTGGTGGAAGTAGACAGATTGAGCAAGTATGCCCATTTCATTCCCCTAGCACATCCATACACAGCAGTAACTATGGCATCAGCTTTCATCAGAGAGGTAATCAGGTTGCACGGAGTACCGGAGTCTATAATATCAAACAAGGATAAGGTGTTCCTTAGCGATTTTTGGAGGGAGTTATTCAGGTTACAGGGGACAGTACTAAAGAGGAGCATCGCCTACCACCTGCAGACGGATGAGCAGATGAAGGTGATCAATAGGAGCTTGGAGACATACCTACGATGTTTTGTGTAAGAGACACGTAGACTGTGAGCCAAGTGGTAGCCTAGGCAGAGTATTGGTACAACACTTCATATCATTATGCTTCTCAAATAACCCATTCAAAGTGTTGTACAGGCGAGATCCACCTCACTCGGTGCACTTTGAGCATAAAAGCACTCCAATTTCTTCAGTAAAAGAGTATTTGAAGGAGAGGGACAAAGTATTGGAGGAACTGAAGAGGCATCTATTGAGGGCTCAGTAGATCATGAAGAGACAGATACACAGGCATAGAAAGGACATCCAATTTGAGATAGAGGAGATGGTGTTCTTGAAGTTCAAGCCTTACAAGCAGAAGATCGTCGCCAACAGGAGGAATGAGAAGCTACTTCCTAGATATTTTGGGCCGTTTGAGGTGCTAGAGAGGATTGGAGCGGTGGCCTACCGGCTGAAATTATCGGTGATAGCAACCATACATCCCATTTTCCATGTATCACAACTGAGAGGGCAATTGGTGATCATGCAGCGAGTTCTGAGCTATCAAGGATGTTGACAGAAGACTTGGAGGTCGTATTAGAGCCCTTAAAGTTGATGGGGGTTTGCCAGGGAGATGGGGGAACCATGGAAGTCTTAATCAAATGGAAGAGTCTACCGAACTACGATGCTAAGTGGGAACCTTATAAGAATGTATAACAGTTTCCCTCCTTTCACCTTGAGGACAAGATGATTCTTTAGGTGGGGGGTATTGTAAGACTGATCCCTTACAGACTGGTTCAGCCGGCCCCTCATGGACCGATCCAGCCGACCCCTTGCCAAGGGCCATTCCAGGTTTATAAGAGGCAGACCAAGGATCCACCACCTTGAAGTTGTCGCCCAAGCATGGGTGGGCCCCAATCAGAATTTCAAATAGAATGACAGAGGGCGGCTAGGGCTAAGGGAGTAATTTTGCCTAGAGGATTATTTGCATGCTTGAAGTAGGAAGAGAGATTAGGGTTAGGGTTATGCATGATTATTGGGTTGTTTTGTTCTTGGAGTTTGGAGGCTTGGGCTCCAGTGGCGTCTAGGGATTGGGAGAGATACTCCCCTCGAATTGAGGATCAATTGTATCTTGATATTATTTCTTCCGTTAGTTTGATTTCTTCAATAAAAACTATTGTTTTGCTTGTTTTCCCATCGGATTTATGGTTCGTCTTGTTGTTTTTGTCTCTCTTGTTAGGGTTTACTTGAGATCTTCAAGTCTTTCTTAACAAATAGCTTTCTATCTATAAAAATCTAACAATTCAAGGACAATGGCATTATATTTTTGACGCATAGTTAATTATGCATTTCAAAATTAAAGAGTAAGTTTCATATTTGTTTCTTTTCTAATTATTTATTTCTCCACCTATTTATGTACATCAAATTTTTTTTTATATATAGAACAAGAGAGTAAAATTAAGTTATAAAATCTCTCCTTATCTTATCTCATACTTTATCTAATTTTCAAGATAATTCCATCGAGATATTATCTATTACCTCTCTACTGTCTACCTGTTGATTAATTGCACTGAACATTTCATGTTCGTTGGGTTGAGTGCCAGGACCTCAGCACTTCAGAGAAAAAATCTTGCAGCAGTGGGGAATTGATAGTGGGTCATCACCAAGAAGGCAAGACTTAATCCATTTACTAATATATTAAAAATTGCGTCATTATTTATATTATTTGATTAAATTTTTTGCATAAATTACACAGGTGAAATAAAGAGTTGAGTTACAAAAACTTTTCAATTAGCTTGTAAAAAATCAAAACACCAGAATCCTGAAAGACCTAACAATTGGTAATACATCACTTACCAATAGAGATGTTCCAGAAATGTCAATGGCTTTTAGTGAAACAAGCTCCAGAAGTCTTTCTGGGGTAGATACAAGAAACTCAGGCTCGCAATTCTTTAGACTGTATGTTGGGTATTTTTCAAAATAGAAGTGTCAGTAAAAGTTAGAAAAGACTAAAAAATACGAATAATCTAAACAAAAGCAAGCATAAATTACTTGACAAGAAATCAGGTAGAATAAGCGCCATAACAGCACATAAAAATTTTGAGAGGCTCCTGCATGTGGAAGTTTAGTATATAATATATAATTATAATCCATTTGGGGCCCCCAGATGCGTTAAGATTGACAATTACTACCCAGCTAACTTATATATGATTAGACAGGAACTGTTTGACAGACAAATTATGCAATGTTATCCAATACCAAATGGGTCAGGTAAAAAATTGGCACATTAGAATTAGCAAACCATAGATTGTGTTTGTGACATAAGGTAATTAAGCCATAATGGTGTTGTAAGTTCAAAATAAAGTTGCCAGTCAAAATCAGGTCTGAGCTTGATCCAAACCTCTTACTCAGACCATAATCAAGTCAATTTAAAGTCTTCCACTTGCCCAAATAAGAAAATATCGTATAGGTTTCAATTGGCAAAAGAAATTGATCCGAACCTCATAATTCCCAAAATCCAAATGGGTTCAGGCCATTGCGGACCTTGAACCCTTGTAAAGATACACACAAACTCATAATATATACATACATATCTATGTATATGATAGCCATAAATTACAATGGCAATCGCTTAACATGAATCACAAACTGGTCATAAATCTTTCACTAGACTGAAGGTAAAAAGAAAAGAGAAAGTAATAAAAAATACAGTTAAGGCATAGATCTATGCTTCTCTGCACATGCGGACTAAAATTCATTACCTAGTGAATAATAAAGGAAGTCAATCTACAAAAACTACACATAGAATGCCCTGTATCGCCAAAAAGGAGGTGATTTCAAATCCTAATAAAAAAACAGATAAAAACCATTAAGCTAACGATAATTTGGTGGTTAAAAACATTTTGATAAGGCATAGATTTTCCACCATATGAAATTTTCTATATACTCTATTCTTTTTGTAGCAATGCCATATCTCCATCAAATTCGCCGAGTTGACTAATATATAAGATAAAGTAAAAAAACATTCAAAATTCCGAGTCCAGCCCACCATTTAGAACTAGTATTCTGATAACAAGAGTCAAAAATAGGAAACGTTATGATCAAGAATAATATATGCAATTGCTATCTCATGTAAGTAATCTTGGAGTAGGTACTACTAAAGATAAATGCAACCTCTGGCGGAATATTTCAGGAGATTTGAGTTAGGCTAAAAATAAATCAACATATTTATCATAAATCATAAAATTGGAAGAAGAAAAAATCAGATGAGTATCTCAACATATAGTCTTATTAGATAAACCTAACTCTAAGAAGTCCTCCATCAATTCCACTCTCTTGCATATTTTTGATTCTCCTCCCTAAAGACAATCCATTTTTGACTGCAGAACTCGGATATGTGTCTGTTGACTCACAAGAGAAACATAAGAAATATCATGTTGAAGAACTTGATCTACTTTTTCTTCTAGAAATGTAAAGCCCTCTTCTAGAAATGTTACTGTTAGCAGCTGACAGGCCTAACTAGATATCTAAAGGTGCAACGGATGTAAAAAAGCATTATGGAAAGCAGAAATTTTCTGGAAAGGAATGAATTTATTGTCATTACCTTTAATTATAGACAGCATAGCATTTAAAGTCGTTTAAACCGCATTTCGTTGCACAATTAGGTAATCTTACAAATTGCCAAATACTAATTAGTGGGATAGAAGTTGATACGTTTGTTGTGCTTGTGAAGAAAGCTTAGTTAGCGACGAGTAATAGAATTATATCAAACACTCAGAATGATATGAGCAACATGTATTTGTCAACAGTAGAAATTCAATGGCATAAAAACTTCCTTTTTGATCTCGAGCATAGATGAGAAAGAATGGGGGGTCGATATTAGGTTGGCAATTAATTGTAAAATTTTACCAAAATTAATAAACTGAATTTAAATATAAATTTTGCTGGTGCACGGGCATTCCCGGAAGTAATGCGTGACCTGATTTGAATGTGCAGAGAAGAAGATAAATGTTTGCTAGGATATCACCCCAAGATGACATGCCGCAACTAAATAAAATTGTGGTGAAAAAATAAAGGCAAGAGTTTGAAAGTACATCACTCGTAATTGCTACACCAGAACTTATCCAATTATCATGAAAAATAGGAAATGGTTGCCTATATCTAAAAATATGATTAAATTTGCTACATCGAAGTTGGAAATTTTGCATAAGAACATAAGAGAGGATAACACAACAATTAGAAGAATAATAAATATTACTTTTTATAATAGACTAAATGAAAAGGTCAAAAAGTATTTCAATTAGAAGAGGATATTCAACACAAGTGAATGAGATATTTCGATAAGCTTTTTAATGAAGATTGTGAGAATACAATTAATTTTAGAGACCTTAGCACCCTAAATGAAAATATAGATTTTATTTCTATCATCGTATTAGTGAAACCGGAGATAGAGAAACCTTGAAGAAAATGAAGCGTGGAAAAACAGTTGAACCTGATGACATTTCAATAGAGATATGGAAATGCTTAGGAGATAAAGGAATTTTTTGGCTTACAAAATATTTCAATATAATTTTGAAGACTAAAAAAATGTCATATGAGTGGGGAAGAAGTGTGTTTATTTCTATTTTTAAGAATAAAGGTGATGTATAAAAGTGTGTAAATTATAAAGGAATTAAGTTAATGTGTCATACTTCAAAACTATGGGAGAGTTATTGAGCATTGGTTATGATGTGATACTAAGGTCTCTCAAAATCAATTTGGATTCATGCCTGGCAGGTCTAATATGGAATCAATACATTTATTGAGAGGTTTAATAGAGAAGTCTATAGAGAATAAAGAGGATCTACAAATGATATTTCTTGATTTAGAGAAAGCATGTGATAAAGTTCAAAGAGAAGTGCTTTGGAGAGTACTAGAAAGGAAAGGAATTAATAATGCTTATATTCAAATCATTAAAGATATGCATGCATGAGGTGTTACTTGTTTTCAAATACAAGGTGGTTTGACCAAGTATTTTTCTATTTCAGTTGAATTACATCAAGGATCAGCATTAAGCCCATATCTTTTTGCTTTAGTCATGGATGTTCTTACTAGACATTTACAAGAGGATGTTCCCAGGTGTATGCTTTTTGCTAATAATATTCTTCTCGTTGATGAGACTAAAGAGTGAATTGAAAGTTCAATTATGGAGGATAGAGTCTAAAGGTTTTCATTTGAGTAGGTCTAAAACCGAATACATGGAGTGTAGTTTTAGTAGTAACAGATCTAGAGGGGGATTGTGTTTTTGGGCAAACAAGTAATTAGTAAGGGTGCACAATTTAGATATCTTGGATCTATTGTTCAAAGTGAGGGTGAATGGATGGGGATATTATTAGTAGAATTCAAGTTGGGATGGTTGAAGTGGAGGAATGTATCGGGCCTATTGTGAAAATACCCCTCAAACTTAAAGGAAAATTCTATAAGATGGTGGTGAGACTAGCAATGCTTTGTGCCGCAAAATGTTGGCCATTAAAAGAGAAGCATAAAGTTAAGTGATACATAGATGAGAATGCTAAGGTGGATGAGTGGCTTCATTCTAAAGAGGCAGAATGTGAAAAGAGTATGCACTTGAAAGGGTTGGAGTAGCTCCAATGGTATATAAGATTAGAGAGAGTCGCCTTAGATGGATTGGACACAAAAAACATCAACCTTCCGATGACCTGATTAGGAGAGTAGATGTATTGGATTTGACCTATGTTAAGAAAGGTAATGGTAGACTAAAAACAGACTAGGCTATAAAAAATAAATTAATTAAAAAAAATTAAAAATACTTGGCTATAAAATATTAGAAATGAGCTTTTTTTATTAAATTAAATGAGAATTTGACTCTTAACAAGACACAATAGAGAAAAATGATTCATGTAGCCGACTCCACATAGTGGATAAAGGCTTTGATGTTGTTGTTGTACCAAATAAAAAGGGAAAAAATACAAAAAAAAATTATAGAAGGTTATACATTATTATATTTCAAAGGTCAACAATAGGAATTGATTGAGATTGTAGTGGAAAGAGATTTGAAAGATGAACTTATTGACGTGAATAAAGTCAATGATAAAATGATTGCTATTAAGATAATTATCAGTGAAAACTGAAAATATTAAATTTTGAATGTTATGGCACACCCAAGAAGAGGGTGAGTAATTATAATCTTAAAATCAATTTTGAAGAACTAATAAATTTGATTTCTTTTTAAAATAACAAAAATTGAAACTACTTTTATTTTCTTGAAAAAAAAAAAAGTGAAACATGACATTTTTGCATTTAAGAAAATTTATAGTTCATATCGCTCAAAAACTCTTCTTAAATCTCATAGCACAAGCAAACACAATTCACATATATCCGGATCTCCTCGCTGAAAATTACAAAAAGAAAAAGTACTAAAAAATAAAGAATAGGCAATGTGATTTATAGTGATTTAGTAATCAATGACGTACGTCCACTCCTAAATCCACCTCCTAGGATGTTTCACAACTCTCTCATTCTGCTACAGCAAGACGGAGAAGCCACCCTTCTTTATAAGTAATGGAAAAACCCTACAACTGCTTCTTATCCAATCAAAAACTTAGTTAATACTAGCCCCAGAGTATGTTAACAAGATATCCACATATGATGCACTGACACTTCTCCTTATGGAGGTGTGTAGTGTCAGATACGAAAACACAGGCAACACGCCTCTTACACATGTCAAACACTACAAAAAAGTGTCATATTAAAATAATATTTAAAAAATATCTCAACATCGATGTCCGACGACATGTTGACATTGACACTTGAAACTGGCAATTTCTATACCGACAGCAAGCCCTCACACCATCCCGATATCTCATATTTGTCCAACATTGTCTCAACATCATCTGTCAATGTTGCCTTGATATCGCGCCCAATGCCCGACATCACAACCATCTATCAATAAAACTATAGTCTCCCCTCTTGACACCCGACTCTCAACTACGTTATCGTCTAACAACAAAAATTATGGTATTAAGTCATGTACGTATTAAAGCAACGTTGAAATGAAACTCTAAGTTTCACATGCATCAAAAGTGAAACAAAACTTTAAGAAGCACAAGCTACAAAACTGACACAGAGTCGGGTGTCAAGAGGAGAGTCATGTACATCTTAAAGCAAAGGTCTTGAATTCACTCTCAACAACGTTATCGTCTTACACTCTTACAAAAAAACTACAACATTATCCCCTCTTGACAAATAGTGATTTAGTCATTTAAGTCTTAAAGCAAAGGTTTTGAATTTACTCTGCCTAGCTATAGGATAGAGTAATAGAACATGCACTTCAAAAATTATGATAGCTCTAGGAATCAATTAGATAACATGCCAATAAGATCAATTATAAAAGCAATCTTATGTCAATATAATCAATAGAAAAATATGGAGAATAGAGAGACTTCATAAAATTTTTATTAATTTTGATATGGAAAATAATCAAGTAATATGAGAATTAATTTGATGTGACTAAGGAAGAAAGGTACGTTATAAATATCATTATTAGAATAATAGTTGTGGAATGATCAAAGAGTTTATGATTACAGTAGACTACATCAAGGATAAACGTTAAGTATATGTTTTTTTATTTATTATGAAGATCCTTAAAAAAGAAATTCAAAATAAAGTGTCTTTATAAAGGCGTTTTAGTAATGGTACAATTCTAAGAAACAATATATCTGCTAAAAAAAAGAGTAGTCGAAACAATGAAGAAAATATTTAAGGAAGAGTACAAAGAACTAGTAGAACAATAAGCACATGCATCAAAAGTGAAACAAAACTCTAAGAAGCACAAGGTTCAAAACTGAAGCAAAACAGAAGTACTAAAAGTGTCACGCAAAATAAAAGTGCACTATAACAGTAAAATACACACCATTCTTTATCAAAGCCACAGAAAGTAGAAGCATTTATTCTAGTTCTACAACCTTGCTAAGGAAAAAAGAACATTTAAGATGAAAATCTGGAAAATCAGAAAAGACAATCGAGTACCTACGTACCCATGAACCTGGTGATTCAATGATGTCCCAGAATGCAAGCTGACTGTATGGATTCCAAGAGACTTAAGAGGTTTGCACACAGCCCTCACCTGAGTTATCAAGAAAAAAAAATACACCCTAAGTTGCTGGGGCTCAAAATTTTATCTAACTCAGTCAATACAACAACAACAACAACAATATCAAGACTTTGTCCCACTACGTGGGGTTAGCTACATTAATCCTTTTCCACCATTGTGTCCTGTTAAAAGTCAAATTCTCATTTAAATCTAATAAAAAAAGATCATTTCTAATATTTTCTAACCAAGTCTTTTTAGGTCTACCCCTACCTTTCTTAACATAAGTCAAATCTAATACCTCAACTTTTCTAACCAGTTCATCGGAAGGCCTCCGTTTAATGTGACCAAACCATCTAAGGTGACTCTCTCTAGTCTTATCTTCCACTGGAGCAACTCCAACATGTTCAGGTATATGCTCATTTTGTATCCTATCTATAAGGGTAAAGTCACTCATCCACCTAAGCACCCTCATCTCTGCAACACTTAACTTAGTAATACGCTTCTCTTTTAATGGCCAACATTTGGCACCATAAAGCATTGTAGGTCTCACCACTATATTATAGAATTTTTCCTTAAGTCTGAGGGGGACTTTTCTATAAAAATATAAAATTCATTTGTTCGACTCCAGCGCATAAACAGATATACATTGCCAAGGGTGCATCTATGTCATATGTTCATAAAATATGATGAAACCCAAACTAAATGAAAACCAGTACCTCAATAGCCCTATCTTGGGATGACGCTATAAACAAAAGGAAGGGGCTGGCAACAATGATCCCTTGTTTCTCCTTCCTCGCAACAATATCGGCTGCTGTTGAGACCAGCCAAGCGACCTGATCTTTAGCTGCAGGTGAACCACTGGTCTCCACTACGCTTGACCCAGACGAACAAATCCCGCAGAATTCGGCTCCCCAGTAGCTCGATAGTAGAGCCCCAACCATGTCTTTATTGAGGGTACCCTCCTGCACCCAAGCATCCTCTACAGCTTTTAAGCACAGCATGAGGAACTTAGAGACACGGCCATTCTTAATGCCACCATTTTCCCCGTTGCACTCCGTTTTCTCAACAGGATTCTTCATAAGCGTCTTCTCTGTGTCTGGAGAGCAACCAGCCTTCTCCTGAAGCCTTTTATCGTTGTTCAGAGTGGAGTTAGAATCCTCATGCCCATTATCTCTCCTATTAAACTTTTGTTTCTTCGACTTCCTGCTCTTACCCATAGACTTCTTCTCATGCCTCTCGTTGTAGGGATCATCTGCCGTTGGAAGGCTAAAGCACATCCCCTAAGAGTAAGTCAATAAAATAAGAAAGTCGACAGCGTTATCGGTTCGATTGACTATAGTGTTAACTTTCTTCCAGAGAAAAATAGGGTGGAAATCGAAACCTCGCAGATGCGCCGCTTCCCGGCCTTGCGGCGGCACTTGGCAGCGATGATAGCGGCAACACGAGCGGAGACAGAAGACTCGCTATTGCGCAGCCTCTTCCTATTGACCCTGTTCCTCTTTCTCCTCAATGCATCGTCCCCTTTTGCCATGTCGACGGCGACGGACGGCGGTGCGGCCTACACGGCTGCAAACAATCGACGGTGAAGGGTGTGCTTCTACTCGAAAACCCTTGCATAGGAGGAGGGCAAGGCCCCAAGGGTCAGACCGGGGCGTGGGTCGCTCAGCTCGACCAAGGGCTACTATGTTATGTTCTAAAAATTAATTAAATTTTTGTTTTATGCTACTGCTCAATTATATTTTAGAATTATTTAGATACAAGTGAATATTTCATTTTTTAGTTAATGTAGTGCAAAGTCTCAAAATGGTGGTCGGCGACGACGACTAGCAGGTAGTGGCGGCTACCGGTCGTTGGTTTCGAGGCCGGTAACTAGTAGTGGCAACTGACAATGGTGGTGGTTAGCTCCGGGTGGCGGGGACAGTCGAGACCGACAGTTACCGGACAGGCAATGGACCAGGCAAGCAGTGAAGGTCAAACAAGTTTGCTTGTGCTATAAATGATTCTCACTCAAAACTTTGCAAGTTCAGTTTACCTCAAATATATAAATAATTTGCAAACATTTACTTCACATTGCATTCTTTTTTCCTTCAACTAAACACCAATATTTTCAAAACCCCTACATTTGAAATATTTAACACATATTTTACTTCAACCAAACAACTCTTAAAAGTCAAATTTTCATTTAAATTTAATAAGAAAATATTATTTCTAATACTTTTGACAGTCTTTTTAAGTCTACTTTTATCTTTTTTAATATAAGCCAAATCTAATAGATATACTCACCTAACTGGGTCATCAAACGTTTTGTCATGCCTTAGAATCCAAAGCTAAAGAATTTCATCTATTTTCCCTTTATTCATTTATCATTTTCTGTACAATTCAATGAACAATCAATATTTATCAATCAATTTAATATATTCTCATGTAAATGTCATCATGAATATTAGCATGAAGAGCAAGACAATACATCCAACTTTAACATGATATATTCATTCGTTCACCCTAACCTTCGACCAACTGGTCGGTCATCTGTCTTTAATTTAACCTCATGCAACATCACATAATATAATTTTGGAAGAACTGCTTATTTATCTATTAATTAATCAACAAGAATTTATGTGAAATCATCAATATAAATCAATCAAGTGAAAGTTACTAAGAATAATATATATCAAAATATAAATTATATTCATCCCTCAAAATTCTTGTACATAAGTTAAGAGATCAATCATTACATTCATTTCAACTTTCTATACTCATGACTACAAAATAATAAAACTAGAGAAAATGCAAAAACAAAATAAAATCAAAATTCTCGATTTGTCGTCGCTCCAGTAGATCCTGACCCATTCCTAGAAATCTTTAAAACCACAAAGTGATAGGTTACTAGAATCTACAACTGAAATCAATGCAAAGTAATATGAACAATATGTATGTAATCATTTAATCATTATCAGTATAAACATATAATTGTAAAACATGTAACAATTAACAAAACATTAATATATCATATGATCAATAAACACCAGTGCAACCATATATCTTAAAAGCATTGATCAGTAACATAGTGAAGAGTTGTCTTAAAATTCTGTCAATCTTATAACAAGAATTACAAAATAGTTTATCTATCATTATCATATGGTTGTCGTACATTATCTATGCTATGCATGTATATCATGTGATTCATATATATTAAATGATTTTGTATCAGTCATAACTTGTATCTTATGTATATATATATATATATATAATTCTTATTTTTTAGAAATAAGTTATATCACAAGTCATTTAAGTCAGATGGCTTTCATATTAGAAGTGATCACTTCCTGCTAGTTGTCGTATCATTTCATATCAGTATGTCTTATTATACCCATTTTTTCATATTATTTAAGATTACATCATAAATCTTATTTTAAAGAAAAGCATTTGGACCCACCCTACCTTACAGGTACCATGTATATAACAAATTTGAATAAGTCAATCATTTATAACCGTCTTTCTTACATACATATATTTCATAAAATTTTAATGTGAACCGAAAAGAAATAAAATTCATAAAAATATAGGGTGCACTTTTTACATATGTGTATCCATGATAGCTATATAATAAGTATGCATGTCATATTCTCATAAAAAATAATTTTAACAATTATTTTTAAATTTCTAAATTTATCCAAATTTGAATATTTTCCCTAAAATGCAAAAATATCATGCGAAAAATTAATATGCACCAATCAAAATGCTTCAATTGAAATGTTTATATTAACAATATTTATCATATACCAAAAACTATGATGTGAAAGTTTGCTAAAAATTAATACATTATAATTTTTGTATATTATAACTAAATTAAAATTTATAAAATATATAATACATAAAATCATTGAAATCAGAGATAGAATAATATGATAGTCAACCTTAAGATAACAAATTTCATAAAAGAACTTACTGTTAAAAAAGCATTATAAACCTCCAAATCCTAGTTTTTTTCTCTCTCATCTCTTTTCTCTTTGATTTTTTATTTATATATATTTCTCTTTTAACCGGAATTGAATAAGAGAAAATGAACTTTAATGATTTAGTGCCTTTAGATATTTTATTTTAAAATAAACTATCTAAATGATGTAAATATAATTATGTCAATTATTTAGTTTTTAGCATAAAATTATTATAAATTCTTTTATATCTTCAAATTTAGATCTCTAAAAATTATATAAAAAAAATATTCATAAATTATCCCATCATATTTTTTTATTTTTGTTTTGAAATCGATTTGCAAAACGGATTTCGATCTAACAGTCCCAAAAATCTCATTTGAATCGGTAGGTGTCAATTTTTAACATTGCCCATAAATTTTTTTTAAAAAAATTTAATATAATTAAAGTATTTATATAATGACAAATATGATTTGTAAATTTGAGTTATAATGACTCATTAAAAAATTATTTGATTGAGTCAAGTTATTACACCCCATTTTTCGACCAATTGGCCATCGATCTTTATTTTACTATCATTGTTCATTATCTTAAGTTAATTCATACGTGACTTTTAATAATCATTTAATAGTCGTTTCACTCTACTCGTCAGTGAAGTTCAATCAATTAGTTACATGATACACTAAAGATTACTCCACAAACCTTTTATTTAAAGAAACTCCATCACCCACCCTCCTGCGCATGGTATTATGTTTTAAGAGCTAATCCATATTACTTATAATGTTAATATCCATCATTTTTTGCTTACATGCAATTATTATTTTTTCTTATATCATTGTATCAATCTTTCTTTGATGTATGAAATACAAGAATTTATAAAATATAAGAAAATCTGTGTACTATCTAATAACTTAAAAAAAAAAATCAAAATTTTTATTTTACTCTATAAAATTCAATAATGTTACAATAAAAAAACTCACACAATACATATCTATCATATACAAATAACCACACTGTGAAAACTCAAT